AAAAAACCCCCCCCCCCCCGAAAAAAAAAAGCCCTAAATTAAAGCGGCCTAACACAAAAGTTTAGCACAGAGATGAGCATCAGAGACGACGGAGATCACCAAACACAGCAATCCGCCCTGTTCCAAGTCGAGATCGAGAATGATCTCCATGGATTGGTACAGACCTGCCGAGAACGGAAGTAAGGGTTCGGACATGATAGGACTCGGGCTCTTCATCAGTGGGCCTCTCGGTGTAGACGATGTGAACCTTCGGTTGCGGTGGTTGAGATTCGGTGGATTCCGCCATGACGATCGAAGCAACGAACGATGAGACCAACAACGACACGAACACGACGATGCAGAGCCTTGCAATGGAATTTGTTTGCATATCTCTCTCTCCCTGCCTCGGGGATGTTCGGAATCGGGGCTTTTGTGAAAGGGACAGATCAAACGGCGTCGTCAGGTAAGCTTCGTCACGACGTATTTGCTTTGACCAGCCACCGACGGCCAGAAATCGTTTGCGAAGATCTGACGGCTGATATTGTTTCGTGTGATGACATCCGATCGCTTTTAATAATTTTATTCTATGTATGTCATGATTCTCTATTTATTAAATGATTTTATTCCATCTGTGACATGATCTCTGTTTACTAAACTTTGTTATGTTATGGGTCTAGATATAAAAGCCCATGGGCCTTTATTACCGATTATTAAATAAAAGCCCATTATAAATGATTCTTTTCTAATTTTGATGTGCCAATATGAGTGCGGAAAATTACAAGTGAATTCGAATTGAAAATAAAAAGAGACGACAACCGGAACCAGGGTTTGGGCAATTAGAAAGAAATTGAATTATGAGTCAGACATCCGATAGACCATTAAGGCATATAGTAACGATGGAGCAAATCAAATTTTTCATCTTTATTAAACTGATTCCATCGCAAAATAGAACAATTACAATTAGCGATAAATTAACAGGTCCATTTTATCCTATAAATACCTCAAAGATTATAATAATAATAATAATAATAACCTCCGATTAATGTTTAATGCGCCTCAACGCCAAGTAGGCCAATACTCTGTACCCGACAAACATCAATATCAAAACCCCAACGCTCGTCCACGTCCCGACATCTCCGACCACCTCCTCCTCCACGAACCGACAGCCGCCGTCGGATGGCCTCTGGCCGCTCTCCGACCCGCACCCTATTACCCGAAATACCTCCTCGCCTCGTCCGTACTGAACGTCGATGAGAAGGCGGTAGCTGTAGAACGTAGTGGACACGTATTTCATCCACATCATGCACGTAGGCACTTTGTGCACGTAGTAACCACCAGTCAGGACGAACCCTAACATCGTCACGGTCACGACGGTGGACGCCTTTTTCGCGTCCATGATGGCAGCACCCAAAGCGAGGCCGAGGCCTTGAGAGACCAGGACATATAACAAGAGAACCGTGAGGGTTAGGAGAAAGGCAGGAAGACCGGGTCGAAGGCCGACCATCCAGTAAGTTAGGGTTAGGAACGCTGTGGGCAGGACCAGTTCCATGGATAGCGATCCGAGGACATGAGCCATGAAGTAGGAGGAGAGAGTGTACATCCCGGAAGCTCGTTCTCTCGAGAAAATCGCCCGCTCTTGAGGGAACGTGAAGACAGCGTTGAATGACGGAAGTACCCCCCAGAAGACGGTGACGAAGAAGAGAAGGCCGAGGCGGTCCTGCACGTGACCATTTTGTGAGAAATAAATATTCACTCATCACTCGAGCAAATAATAACATTAGGAAGAAAATAAAAACTTACGTGTAAATCACGATAGTCGGAATGCCACCACATGAGGCCGGCGAGAAGGGAAGCAGCAACGACTTGGAAGACACGAAGGCCGTCGAAGGATTCGTACCGACGTTCTTTGAGAAGTCTATGGAGGAGAATGGAGAGTTGGCCGAACCAAATGGCGAGTCCGCTTCCAAACGTTACACGCTCTCTCCTTTGGATCATCGAACCCGGGTATTCGTGAGAAAGAGTGAAGGCGTCGATGCTCGTTTTAACCTTAGTTGCCAGCAGTGTATCGTATGCGGCGATTAGGGTTTGCCTCACGTTTGGCCTGTCCCGTTCCGTTGCTCCATCAATGTGACAAACTCCTGCGTTATTTAATTCATAATAATGCTCTAAATTAGCATCATATTCATATCTATTATGAAAATATATATATATATATATATACACGTATTCGGATAGATCATATAATTCGTGTCAAATAATCCTATGTTCTTAATTTGGTGAAGGAAGAAGATCCAATCCTAGGGCAAAAACGCCGATTTAACTCATTCATTAGAGTCGAACATTAATCTTTAAGAAGAAATTTCTGCATCCATAACAAATTTTCATCCACAACTAAAATAAAAAAGGAAATATTGCTATTTTTTTAAAAAAGAAATAAACGAAACTATATTAAGAGAAGAGCCTACTCAACCCCTCGTAAACTAATACAAAATAATAATCTAACAGACTAAGACATTCATTGATAGTAAATCAAAATACTATTTAAATAAAGAAAAAAAGACGAGAAGACAACTAAATGTGTCCAGACAAACAACTGATAAACAAGTTCACCAATCGAACAGAAGAGACAAATCAAGATATCAAACGGACAAAGACATTGATGGATTCAATGTCTGGTTATTCCACAGGCTACAGAGGTTTCCTTTAATCGGTTAATTAATATTTAAGCTAGATCTGATTTAGTCTCTTAATTAATTCCTAGAGAAAATTCAGAGGTGGCCAGGCGAGAAATTCCACCAGGAAAGCATATATAGTGTCTCCACTAGCTACTAAAATAATTCCCAAAGCAAAAAAAGAAATACAAAAAGAAAAGCGAGAAGAGTGGATTATTAAAATAAACATGTGATGTGAATAAACCCCTTTTTTCCTAAGATAAGCCAAATGAACAGATGGGAATGAGAAATACGCCTAAACTAGTATTAATCATATGATTAAAGAACAAATGGAGATTATTCGAGGGGAAAAAAAGATCAACAGAAGAACATTAATATCAGACTCTCAAGTCAAAATCCTAGACCAGGATGACCTGCAGGCCACCTCTGTATATATATATATATATATATATATATATATGTATATACATATGTTATATCCATGGCCGTCATGATTTTGGAAGATAAGCTATAAATATATTTTGTTTTTATTACCAATGAGCGACGAGCAATAATTTCGGACAAGTGGGCTACACTGTTACAATTAATTACACCGATATAGACAAGTGACTAATTAAAAGGCCATGATGCGACGCACCTAATATGTGATTTTCTCCAGTAACGAACTATTCGGTATCCCTAATAACAGATGTTATATCCATATAAATTACGCAAAAAACAAAATGTTGACTTCCCGACCTCTGGAGATGATTGAGTCAACATGGTAATGGCTGGACACTCTCTCTTTACAAATCACTAAATAATAATAATAATATAAAAAAATGCAATCAAATCAACCAAAATATGGAAAATCCCATGTTACTGGGAAAGAAAAAAAAACAACACATATGCTTGAAGATGCAATTGAAAAAGGATGGTCATGTGGATGGTTGGTATATTGAATAAAACTTTTATTTTTAAATTTCTTTCGGGTTAATAATATTATAATAAATAAAGATGGATATGGGGAGCATATGGAGGCAGACAAGTTAATAAAAATCCGAATCTAATATTTGATTAAATGCGATCGTGCCCCAACAGCATAACTCTAAGTGCCTCCTTTAACCCTCGAGATTAATGCTCTCTTACGCTACCAATGTCGTCACCAAATATCCCTTATTTGCATGCATATATGTATCTATTTACAGCAACCAGCATCATCCAATCATTCAAGAGCGAGACTATACACTGTATGAGATTACGATGTTTCCTACAATGGAAGAGTTTATCAAAGCTATGGTGATCAAGCGATTTGGAAGGTACCTTGGCACATCAATGCCGAGACATCAAATCACGCTGTATTGCGCATTAATGCATACGGAACGTATGTATATCCCTGGATGTAATTGAGTTTACATGGGCACACATGCATAATGACAATGTGCATGTCCTATATATGATGGTACATGGCCCATCCATGCCAAAAACATCAAAATCTTGTGTGCACAAATGTGAATGCATGTGGTGTATGTCCCCAAATGCAAATTGAATTTTCGTCAACTTGATTACCAAAAGAACCAAAGTTTCCAAAACCAGCTTTTGGACGGTCCCATTCCGAAATGATAGCATCCACACCCACCGGTGTGTGATGGTCCACTTCCTATGCCTAAAAACGTCCAAACAGCCGTACCATAATTGGGTTCTGTTCCGGATAGACAAAGAGCCGAGCTGCTCGAGTCCGCGAGTGGCGATGGCTTCTATGTGAAATATAGGTTTTCAGATAAGGAAACATGGAAACGCAGACACACGCGACTTCCGACGCGTGGAACTCAATACGCATCCTATATATTTTTCTTATTTAAAAAAAAGGAAAGGAAAATAAAAGGTGAGTGTTTCCCCTTTTTATTAGTTAGCGGAAAAAATAGCAGAGAGAGGGATAGGGGGAACAAAAATAAAAGAGGAAACGAGAGTTAAAGGGGAGGAAAGAAAAAGGAAAGGGTCAGAAACAAAGAGAGAGATCGGAAAAAGGAGTCTAAAGAGGAAACAGAAAAGCACGTCACCTTCTAACATCCACGACACGTGTCCCTTTGTTATATCTCATCCTCATTTTAGTAAATCCAAATACGTACATTATAATTTCTCATATGTAATAAGGAAAATCCTAAGCAAGTTCATAGTCAGTTGGTCAGACAATGAATTCCTGATCAAATATTATATAATATAATATAATATAATGCATTTTGCTTTCCGAATAATGTCTTTTGTTTAGTGTGGAATAATTTTGGAATAAATCATATTATATATATGCCCAAAGGTGACACCAACAAAACCTGTGGCATATAATGAAATACTCGAAAAGATAAAGAGGGAGACGGAAACGATAACACGTACCCCTATGGCACAAATATATATTAAAACTATTTGGGATATATATAAAACAAAAACAAGAAAAGCCGCCCTACCCTACACAACAATCAGCTTTAATAATTTGAAAATAAAGATCAATATTTATAATTAAACTATTGAAAATCGTGAGATGCTAAGCTAAAGTTGTCATGTTCATTTATTTATTAGTAGAACTGTACCAAATAATAAGTTGGATGGGTAACAATTTTACCATACACTTGATAACATTATTACCAGACCCACCACCACCGCGACCACGGTCACCGAGACTTACGAACACATTATTGTGCTCTCATAGTACGTCGGTGTGAACTGTCATAAATGCGGTGACTTTATATCTTTAATTAAAGCCGTTATTGCTTAGAGTATCCCGAGAAAAAATATCTACCTCTCGGGAAAATAAGATACTCATGACGGTTCACATACACACGCGTGGGCACACACTATGTCTATATCTACTGTTTTTTTTTTGTGTGAAAGTCTCTATATCTATTGTTATATTATAACGTTGAATAGTTTTATGTATATCCAACAATCACGTAAAATATCGTAGAGAGCATTGTATTTAATTAAATTTCTATACTATGTGGGTTGGTAGTGTGGGTTGTGTATACGCATTATGATTGGATCTCAAAACTTTTACCTATTGTATCGTTAATTTAATACTAATCAAAGCTAATCACCACCAAAAGCCAATTCCTAAAGACTTGTGGCTACGTATAATAATCCCATATAACATGTGTTGAAATCTAGTCACACAAAAAAAATAATATAAGATAATTTAATATTCCTATAGTTATAATTTATATCATGACTCGCATAGCTAAAATCAAAGATCCTAATAAACGTCGTTTTCACAAGACTCTCTATTTCGATAAAATAACCACGAGTATAGCACTGTTAACTAATTTAAAACCAAGAAATCATAATTTCTTCCATGCATTTCGTAGATCTCATTAACTCCACGAGTCAAACCCTATTTACGAACACTAGCTAACCTTGCGTGTTATTGTCACAAAGATAATAAATCTGTGCATACATATTAGTATGTATTTATATACTAAAACGAACCATATTCAGCAAAAAAATGCAAAAAGAATCATTAAAGATACGCATGATATGAACTTAAAGGGCAAGTTCAGGTGGTACGTACCGTTGGCGAGATCGAGGAGGAAGTCCGCTGGGTTCATGGGAAACGCCGGCGAGAATCCGACGGACTCAAAGTATCCGACGGCGTCTCTTCCCTTACCGAAGTACATACACCGTCCCTCGCTGAGAAGAATCACCGAGTCGAACATCTTAAAGACTCGGCTCGATGGCTGGTGCACCGACGTCACCACCGTCTTCCCCTTCCCGTGAGCCACCGTCACCAGCGTCTGCACCAACCTGTGCGCCGCCGTGGCGTCCAGCCCCGACGTGGGTTCGTCCAGCACCAACAGGCTCGGGTTCACAAGCAGCTCGTGCGCGATGCTCACGCGCTTCCTCTCCCCGCCGGAGATTCCCCTTATGAAGCTGTTTCCGACGACGGTGTTCTCACATTTCGTCAGACCGAGTTCTGACATCACCGATTCCGCCGTCCTGATCTTCTCGTCTCTGGTTAGAGTTCTCGGCAGGCGAAGCAAGGCGCAGAACACTAGGGTTTCACGGACCGTGAGGTGGGGGTAGAGAAGATCATCCTGCGCGACGAATCCGGTCCGTTTCAGTATCTGTCTCGTGGGTTTTCTTTCGTTGGCGAGGATTTTTCCGGTGAGGCCTGATCCACGGAGTCTCCCTGCGACCGCGTTTAGGAACGTCGATTTGCCGCTGCCGGAGGGTCCAAGAACGGCGAGGATCTCGCCGGGAGAGACCATGCCGGTGATGCCGCTGAGGATGGTGCGTTCTTCAAACTGCGCCGTCGATCTCGTCTGATCGGACGGTTGGCGTCCCATCGCCAGCAGTCGCTTGATTCGGCCGGAGTCGCCGCTCCTGTCATGGATCTTCACCTTGTAGCAGACGTCGATGAACTAGACGTACAGAGAGAAAACATGTGACGAGTCAATTACCGAGTCAAGAACGAGTCATTCATCAATCTGGCTTACATCACGCTCATACCAACGGTTGAGCCGCGAATCGTTATCAATAAACCGCCACTAGCTAGTCAAACGTACGCTCAAGGTCGCTTAGTTAATATATACTATCAACCGATAACTATATATATACCAAATATTTATATGTAGTCCGGTTAACGTTCTTGACAAAATAGTGTGTTTTATATATGTACTGGAGAAACATTAACAAAAATCGAACTTTATAATTTGGGAGACGGGTGGGTGTATGATATTTTTTGGAATTTTTTTTTTTTTTTTTACCTTGAGGGTGATGGGGAAACAAGCAGATGATAATAAAGAGCGAGGGTCACGAGGATCTTGAGGAGGATGAACGGACGTATCTGGACCGTCCATTCGATCCACCGTTTGATTTTCCACGCCGTCAAAACCTGACATTATGACTCTTTCTTTTTTCTGTCGTCGTCTCCTGTTACGGCGTTGGTAGAAAAAAACGAACGCGCGAAGAAAATGTAACGGAGTTAAATCGAGAGAGAGAGAGAGAGGGGCAAGCGGAGAGGAGTGAAGGTCGGGGGTGGGGGAGAGGGAGCGATATATATGGAGAGGGGAAGAGGGGGGGGGCAAGTGGATGCCGCGTCAGCAACGAGTGGCCACAGGGACATGTAACACGTGGCAAACGCAGAACGCCAGCTGGCGAGAAAAGAAGGAAACCAGTCGCTGAAAGTGCACTTTCTTTCTCCTCCTCCTCTATTTTTATTCAGGGGCACTCTCCCCTTTATGGGTTTTCGACTTTATTATTTCTCCGTTGATGCTTTTCTTTTTCTTTCTTCCATCTGCTCATCCGGTCGACTGAGAGAGAGTTTCTGTGTAAGACAGAGGGTTTGGCCAAATACAGTGTTTCCACTACGATTGTCAAGTTGAGAACGTCACCTGATCTTTTAATTAAAGGGAGAGAATAATGGAAGAGAATCATCATAGTGTTTTAGTACAAAAGCATTATAACATCCATAGACGGGAATCGACCCACCTCTAATGCAACTCTTTCTTTTCCTAATTTTTTTTATAATTTTTTTATCATTTCCATTTCGAATGCCAAAATCTTATACGCATTTTGCAATTGATAAAACAAGTAAGAATTAAACCTGGACACGAAATCAGCGTTATATATGCACATGTAATTATGTAAACTTGGATTGATATTTATGGAGAGCGTGCGTTTACGGAAACGCCGCAGGTCGTGGAGCATGAGCCTTTCGTTTTCGCTGCGGCGGTACGTTTCCGGAGCCGTCACGACACCGTTTTGCAGACCGCACCTTCATGTTCTCCTCCATAATCTCGAGAATTTGGATAGCGTAACAGCCCACAACGTTGACCGTGACGTGACAGCGTTCTTCTATTGGTCAAACGCTCAGAAAGTCAATGAGGTTCTCTCGTTTGGGATCATTGGTCTGTCAGAGAGACAGAAGACAGCAATAATGGGCTGAGATCAGTTTATAGATTTCGGGTCGAAGTGGGACCCTCAAACTGAAGGCCGTGAAACGTGTCGCTCGCACGGCCCATCTCGCACGTGATGGCCACTCACCGCTCTCCTCTTTGTGGATCTCGGATCGCTGGTATGGACTGTACGTTTGCTATTTCTAAAAAGCTGGGTTCCTCCACTCTCCCACGGCGGCGCGTGTAGGCAACGCGTTCTGATGCGTCAGATGCGACGTGGACGTTTTTAAACCATCGCTCTGGACCACCTCATCCACTTATGCCCCATTTTTACCATTATAACCTAATCATTTCACCTACTAAAAGCGGTGAACATATTACATATATATATATATATATATATATATATATAAGTGTATCCTAAATAATAAATGGCACCGGGGGAAAAAATGAGTAAACATCTCGGTGGTAAATACAGTAATATAAATTTTAGATTTGTTGAAACAAAAATTAAGTGGATGTTAGTATTTAATACAAAAAAATTGTTTATGTATCTTATCCACATGAACAAATTATATAACATGGATTTTTTCCCCTCGGCCAAGAAAACCAAACTCTTAAAAGTTTTATTGGTAAGAAGTGTGAAAGAAATCAAGGATTGCGTGAAGAGGGGGAGGGTTCAATTGGGTTTCTAATTTTGTTGTTGATCATTTGTGAAACGTGTCACAACAACATTGTTTCGTAACCAAAAGAACCTTACTGTAAAAAGCTAATACGTGCCATTAAGTAGTGTTCTAATCACATGATATATTTTGTTAAAAAAAATAAGATTTTAAAATAATTTTTTAAACAAAATTAATATACAAAACCCGAATAAATAGTTTAACAAGATGTGAATTGAGACATGTATCCAATTAAATAATAAACTTGTGCCTAGTTGAAAATGTAAAATAAAGTGTAAAAAATGAATAAAATCTAAATTGGGGTAATGGAAGGCATCAAATAACATGTAGAATATTAGAAAAAACATGTTAAAATAAATTTAAAGCTTATTATGTAAAAGAGACGAAATATAAAAAAAATGAAAATTATGATAAAGTTTGTTTGTCTGTATTATTTTTTTTTTTGGTAAAGGTAATGGTATTTCGTTTATGTAAAACTGTAAAAAGGTGGCGAGCTGTAAACATGTGATGGAGTACAAATGTATAGCCATAATCTCCTAACATGGAATGTTTAAAAGACTGGTGAATGCATCGATATTCGTTGGCATTTGACCATAATATACAATTAAACCTTTTATGGCGCGTGATTTATCATGAGGGTTTTATGCAGACCAATATTAATTCGGATCCTAAATCATTATCAATATATATAAATAAATAAAAGACCCAATTTGACAAATTTTAAACAAGGAAATGAAACAAATTAAGGTCATTTCCAATTTTTCCTTCTTTCCAAGTTTGATAAAGACGTGAAAAAGACGAGTTATATATAAATATATCTGCATATTCATTAAATGATATTATGTAAGTGCAAAACAGAATATTAGATAATTGTGTATGTACCTCGTAAAGGCCCAATGGGTTTTAAATGAGACATATAATATTTCCTTTTTGGGCCCATTAATTGTGGGAAATTACCATTTTTTATAGCCCAAATTTGTTGGCCCAAAGCCTCCGTCGGTTCGTATTATAACACAGTGATAGGAACTAATTGAGAAAAGCGAACAAAATTGGGAGAAACTTACAATTTGTCGTAAATAGAGTTACATGATATACTATAATCCTGAAACTCTTCGAAAATCCAAATTCTGATTTTTTTTAAAAAAATAATACAATTAAAATTTAGAATTATAACTTATATATAGGTTCATAATGTACAATTAATATCAATATTTTTTATACGAAAATCTTTTATATATAAATATATAATTAAAAAGGATGTGTTAAGGTTATAATTTTATAAAACGATATTTAGTCTTTATGAATTCAATATATTTTTATTGGTCCACAGAGGCAATCATAACAAGTTGCGGATTCCCTCTCACACTGAACAAAAAAGAAACTCACGAGAGATTAAAATCCGAAATTCACGAGACAACTTTTAAAAAAGATCCGAATTCAATCAAAGGGGTGAAATATAATCACGTGCCATTAGCAAACAAATCGCACGTGAGCCTTTTCCTTGCGAGTCATTTATGGTCTCGCAAACAAATAACGAATTCAAGTTTGGCTAAAGATATATATATAACTTATGTGACAAACATCTATATGAAAATTTCAATATTTTTTTTAGATATTGATAAATTGTAAGACAAATTCAAGTTTTCTTGGTCGGTTATGACATAAATTAGCAATCGTGTGTGGTGGAGATAACGATGCGTTTCAACATCTGCTACGTGCCACATTTATTGCAATTGGACATGCACGTGAAAATCACATCGAAATTATTTTGGTTTGTTCGCAAATCGTTCAATATTCCAATCAAAGGTGATCGTTGAATTAAATTCCAGACGGCATGAACTTGTACATAATTACGGATGTTACAATTTCTACTATTAAATAAAAATATATATAACTTTTTTACAGTTTTTTAAAAATTATGAAAAATGTTAAAACGTCAATTATAAAAAAAAACAATGGTATAAAAGATTGTGATGACATCAAATCATCGTCCAAAAGATTATTGAATCCGTTAATTTTATATTCTCTTCGATAATTTTAAAGATAATATTTCATACATCAAACAGATTATTGATAGCATTTTTTAGTATGTTCATATCTAACAAATGTAATATAATATAATAATCAATATAAAAGAATAATTCGTACGGATTTTCATCTACTTGATATAAAAATATACTTTTCTATCCTATACTAGTTAACCATTTCGAATTTCATATTTGGTTTCTCACCTTATGCAAACTTAAACTGCATGTCCGAATGAGGCTTTGAGCACATTGTTGTTATTTTATCGTTACATGATAACTTCCTAATAATAAAATAAAACCAATTACTAATTGTTTCTCGTGATGATATGCCGTCAATATATGCGTATCAAATATCAATATCATGGGGTCGACTCTTTAATCCTATATATTTTGTCGCACTCTTTAATCAGTACTTTATCTTTTCTTTTAATGAATTTAATCGTAATTTGTGGACAAAAAAAATCATAATTTAGAATCTCGTAACTGTTTTGCTTCGCTTTCCTTCCCTGTCATTTAACGATTACATTTACGTTACAATGAAACCAATAAAATTGTACGTTTCTCCGTGTAATTACGCATATAATTTTAAAAATGTAATGTAAGTCCATATAATGTAACACAAATCTACTCAAGTAGATATCTACTATGAATGTGCTTTTAACCTAAAAACTGGTTATTACATTTACTTAGTTTTATTTTATCCCTGGTTACATTTTTTTATTCAAACTTTCACTCCTACGGACCGAACTAAACCATGGTTCAGAAAGTGTGTGGAAACAAGTCAATAAGAATAAAAATAAAATATTTGCATAAAACCAGGGCCAGATCGAGTAAACTTAACCGAACATGTGACAATGCGACCCAAAAATATTTTATAAGATATTTAATTCACATATCTTCACAAAAATCTTATATGATATGTGAGATATATACATAGTGTCAATTTGCCCTGTCTTTTGTAGTAAAATAATTCAACTATTTTAACAAAAAAAAGTAAAATAATTCAACTAGTGTAAGAAAAAATACAAAAGTGTTTTTGGATATTTTTTTTGTCCATTAAAACAGGAAGCGAGCAGAGTATAAAAGAGGGGCGGAGGAAGTGAGGAAGGACCAAAAAGAAACGAATCTTTTCCCTCTTGTCCAAATGATGGATCCTCCGAGAATCCCACACACGGCTCGACGACCAGATCCGATCAACTTGCCGGCGCCGGCGAGACGACGAACATTCTCATCGTCATCATTCTCGTCCATGTCGTCGTGCTCCTCCACCTCCGGTGTTTTCTCCGGTGACTCTCCCCTGAATTCTCCGGCGACTCCTCTCCGTATCCTCGGCGTCCCTTTCTCATGGGAACATCTTCCCGGCAAACCCAAAGAACCTCACAGCCTCAAACTTAACGAACCCATCAATCTCTTACCTCTCCCTCCTCACCGGAGTTTTTGCTTTCCGCCGACCGGAAAACACCTTAATCCCAGTTCAAGTAATAAGAAGAACATTCCTGACTCGCCGATGAAAGATCCCTTCACGGCTGCGCTTGTGGAGTGTTCTAAAGAAGAAGAAGAAGAAGAAGAAGAGGAGGAGGATGACGACGAAGGCGATGTGGATCGGAATTCTCGGAGGTTCGGACGGAAAGTTAATGGCGGATCCAGCAAGGCTTTGTCGAAGAGTAATGTTGGAGACAGATTCAGGTTAGTCAATCTGTATGGTTCGTGTCGGAGAACTTGTGCAGTGTCGGAGTCCATTGTTTTTCTTCCAAGATCCTCCGGAGCTTCTTCAGACCATCATCTTCTTCTTCGTCGCCGTCGCTGAATTACCAGCTTGATCCTGTGCTCTGGTTGCTGCATTTTCCGGGTTCGAAGTTTTTATTTATTTTAATTTTACGTATATTTATTACCCAAAAAATCAGTATAATTTAGGGGTTTTTTCTGTTGTCATTTTATGTTTTTTTAATAATTTAGATCGGATCACGGATAAAATCGCTGAAATTACGTGTAATAAGTTGCATCTTAACTTTATGTATAATACTGCATTATACATTATATATATATATATTATATGGAAGAGATCAAGTTGGCTCTTGTGTTGTATTTGCATTGCATACAACATGTATATGTAAAGTAAATCAATCCCTTGTTTAGTATGTGAAGAATCAGTTTTCCCCTTTCATGGACATATGTCATTTTCTAAAATAGAGTGTTTTTATTTCTGTAAAAATGCTCGTTTTTTTTTTAACAATTTGGGAGTTTCTCCCGATTCGTCGCTTTTTAATCGTTGAAATTGATAAAAAAAAAACTTATATATATATATATATAATTATATGTAATTATTTGAAGTTTCGTGGCATCACGTTAGAAGGAGCCGTGCTGTGAGATCTATAATCCCACGTGGGAGAAAACTACCCTTTGATGTATTGCCAAAATACCATCAGTTTTACTTGTGATTATGAATTTGAACGACCCTTCGTGAGGACTACGTGTACTTGGACACGTTACAGAGTAAAAGCCATCGATATGTACATTCGAATCTGAGTGAAGGCGATAGTAATTTATTAGAATTAATGTAGTTTGGTCCCATGTTGAATATATAGACAATTTTCTTAGAATTTATACCCACAGATCGAATATTAAAAAAAAATACGATGATGCATTAATTAAAATGTATATGCGAGTGGAGGAAATTCGTCTTGAGTCAATGCTTTTATAAATTTACGTAGTTTAATCGACACACGACAGGTAATTTTCTTACAAGGCACAAGATAGATTTAATTAGCTGACCTTGAAATAATTATACATTAGTTGTATCAATCAAATATTATGCGAGGGGACTTTGCGTGAATTATGCACTGACTTGTATTTCTTCTATGAGAAAATAGTTGGCTCACTTGCATTATTGGTGAATTAAAATAATTAAAGTTGTCGAGAGCAACCATATCTATAGATTAAGTTTAAGTATATTATATTATTCATGAAATATACGAAATTAATCAGTGTTTTCGTTGTGTAGGCATGCTAATAAATTATCAAGATAGGAAAAATACGTTATTTTAACAAAAAAAAACATGATAAATTAGTTTTAACAAATAAATCCTAATAAGAATTTATCGTAATTATGTATATGTCGGTGTAGTAATCGGACCAGTACACAAATGAGTAAATTCCAATGATTTAAGAATACCCTCCGATTATTTCATATAAAAAGATAAATCGGTAAAAGTATATACTATATAGTACGTAGGATATAGGAAATTTCAATGGCAACAGCAGACAAAGTTTATAAATTATGCGATTCTGAATTTAATGATATATATTCGATTCGTCTCTTGGGTTGTATGGCGCATTATTTCCTTTATTTTTATCGTTAAAAGTTGTAATGTGGCTTTAATGCGAAATATTATTTTAAGGCCCATAGTAATAAATACCCTACTCAATTACTTCAACAAAACACAATAGGCAGAATATCTTATTGTTGACTGTTTGAGGCATCATCATATATCGGCGTGGTGCGTGCATGAATCTTTTCTAATACGATATTATTGTTAAGTAGTCTTTTTTTTAAAAAAAAAAATCAAGGTAAAAAGAAGAAAATATTAGTAAGTAATGGATTTACCGTTACTTTTTGTATGTGCAAAATATATTGATGTTTTTGTCACACATATATATTGAAATTTACTTTATGTTAGGTGACGACATTTATCAAGCCAGATGAGATGGTCGCATTCATAAGGATTTTGTACATGATGTAATATTTGAATATCTGTTCATAAATATCATATATAATATGATGTATATTAATTTGGCGTTGTTAGCTTGTCCTAATCAATGCTTAAGTTCGTGAATTTACAAATACATGTGTTTAATTAGCTGAAACATAATAATATATATCCTCAGATCGTAGAGTTTATATATATTTACTTTTTACGCATATTTAAATTTAATACATATTACGAGGTTAAAATTAGTAAACAGCTCCGCCTTCATAAACTTGAATGGTTTTAAAAACAAAATATCTAAATTTCTCAAATACTCAAGTTTAAACTTATTGAATAATCTGGTTATCTTATAGGGTATTAAGAGATGTAAAGAAGATTTGAGAAGATGAGTAATATTTAGATTTGATTTGATTTTTATATTTTATATATTTATATTGATTAAATAACATATATTGTGATTCTATTTTCTATCTATAAATATTGTAATTTTTTGTGTTGAATAATAAAAAATTAAATGATTATCCATTCTCTTTCTATTACTATATATTTAAAATTTATAATGTGAAGAGAGAGAGAGAGAGAGGAGTGTTCTTGAACTGGGGTTTGGAGTTTGCGTATTGCCGGCGAAGTGGAGAAGACAAAGAACCTGAAGATGCGTCGAATGCTAATGATGACAGTTTATATATATATATATATGTATATAAGTTTATACTTTCGCGTGAGTTTTGTCATCATTGACTTCCACACCACTTTAATTTCCTACAATAATAACCTAATCTAATAATAACCTCCCGCCATTAATATAATGTGAATACGTGATTATATTGATATATTGGACGGACACCCTAAAATTGGATATTCAATCTGAGAGCGATGAAACTAAGCTAAGTTGGATGCTTGTATACGCGATTATGACTGACTGTGTATGCGTGCGTGTGTGTATATGTGTGTGTGTACATGTGGGGATATATAATACATGAATAAGGGGACAGACAACATGGACCGGTGCGAGTGATGAGATGTGAACTTGGAAAGTAGAAACATTGCTTTAGACTAAAGACATAATTATTGCCACATGACCCTTTCCTGTTGATATATAATTAACCCTTTTTTTGTGTTAGATATTTTTTGAAACTACGCATTTCTTATATGATATATATATATATATATGGATCCAACCTACAAATCAGAGCTGCTACATATTCATGTGACCATATATCATATAAATAACTATAACGCTGAGTTTGTAACTTTGTAAATATTAAGAACTTCACGGTTTAATATATATATATATATATATATATTATCATTTTTCAATTTTTTTTAAGATACAAAAAAAACATTATTAATGTGCACAGCCCAAGTGCTCACCTACCCTCTTTTAAATTATTATCCACTCGTACAAGCCCTAACACACGAGTGAAGGTATACGTACACGTGTCTTTATATCGTTTTAATAATCTACGTGTTTTGTCTGATCTATGAAATGTGCAAGTGCAATAACGCGGATCAGAGGGCAACATTCTGATAGTTACCCTATATTATTCCAAACATACGATAAAGGCTTCAAACTTTACAAATTTACAATTAAGCCCAAGTCTCATGAGACCTCCACATAATAATCTAAAAGAGTCTAACTAAATCAAATAACATGATCATGAAATTGAGCCCAGAAATCGG